CATTACTCGCGGACAATGTTTATGAGAAAATAAAGAATCGCCTTGAAGAGACAGTAAAATTTACAGGAAGAAAATTCAGTGAAGCTTATATTAAGTTCACACACTTTATTAACATTACATATATTCCAGATAGAAAAGATTTTAGGGATGCTCTGATTCGCGGTATTGCATATTCATGTAAACGAAATCAGCGGGGAGCAGATATTATAATACCTCTATATTTGGGTACTCTTGATGAAGAGTTAAACGAAGATCGTATTTCATACATACTAATACAAGTTAAAAATCACTCTACTAATAATAGAGGTTATGAATATTTAACTTCTGCAACTACTTGTCTGTCGCCAGCTTATATAGGCATTGAGGATCTACCATACATGCCATTTTTGTCATTGTATTTGCAATTAGGTGCAAAATCAGAGCTAGCTGACGTTCCGCCAAAGTCTACTACAACACGTAATATGGATTCGTGCAAACGTAAAATTGCAGAAGTACTAGAAGATTATGCAACAGATGCTGAAGTAACAGGAAAGGAATTTATCAAGAAGATTAGACTTGGAAAGAAGGAAGATTCGGATGCTTCAAGTGCTGAAATCAAAGAGTTCCGAGAGTATTTTCAGATTTCGCTTGGATTGTTTGGATTATCATCGGACATTTACAATTGCTTAGGGCAGTCTACACCAGTTTCTACAACCTCATCATCGACCAAGGTTAATGATCTCACAAATAGCCTTAAACATTTATTGTCTGCTTGGGTTGATCCCGTGATGGGAGAAAGTCAAGAAACAATGGAGATAGTTAAACGTATGACTCCAAAGGTATACAAGATGGAGGAGTAGTAAGATTATTGATTATAAAATTTAATGAATATGTGATAGCATGTACAGTATGTTGGTTCGGTAAAGGGAGTGTTGTAATTCAATTTTTATTATTTTAGCATATAATGTTAATGTCGTAGTATCCCTTAAACCGTCCAGTTTAGCGTACAAATTTGTACGCTAAAATGACTAAAAGTAATAATTAGAAAAAAAAATTTTTTTTTATTAGAAGTTTTAATTTAAAGTAACCTTGGTAAACCTTAAATTCATAAGTTACGCGGCATACCTTTTAACCACAATGTAACATATGACATGTATCTTAAACAAAGAACACAAATTCAGTTACATGGAATGTACTACGCTGCAGCCACGGAAAATTCTGCATAAACTGAATTATTGGGTCACCCTGGTTAATTCAGGTCCCTACTATATATGTACAATTTGTAGTTCACCATATGTAAAATTAAAGTTTTTTTTCTCACGCCAAACTAACGATAGGAATATGTCTTTCACATTTAGGTGAATATTGGCCATTTCCGTTATGACGTACGAAGGTTAAAGTGTATTTATCGCATTAGGTGAATGTTGCACATTTGCTTGTCGAATTAACGTTAGGTGAATGCATTTGTCAAGCTAATAGGATGTTGGTGTGAGAAATGTTAGTATAATTATTTCATTGAATAGAAGTAAACTATATATAATGAAAAGGGTTGCATGCTCGTGACTACGTATGAAGAAGTTATTTATCAAATTGATGCACTTTTGCTTCACTTTTGTGTTTGAATTTATTAACATACAGTATATGTACTAAATTTTGGTTTTATTTAGTAAAGCATACTTTAGAGATCAGCATACTTATTAAAAATTAATGTAGCTTTACATAATTGTTGAATTATTGCCCTTAAGTTGATCGATCGAATGTAATATGTCATATCATGTGGACAAGCCACTCAAAAATTCGTACATAAGAGTGATCATGTTTTAAAAAAAATTTATTACTTAAATATCTCATTAAAACACACATCCATTCAATTCTTATTTTTATAAAAAAAGAAATTAGATCTCTGCATTATTTACTGTATGGAATTGTAAAAAACAATTCTGATTATTATTGCAACAAAGAGGTTCGTTGCATGCCGTGCACCAATAACTACTTTGATGTAGTGATTTACGATTCATGTCTAATTTATCTTCATGTGCTAGCCATGTACACCATCGACAGGCTTCACATTGATCTCTCCACTCTACCAAGTAGTTACCAGGTACAAGCCATTTGTCTGAGAGTTCAAAATACTTCATTACCTTGGGTCGTTTTGTTTCCTCTCCTAATTCTATTTCTTTAGAATTTTTCAAACTATTTCTTAGTTGAACACCAGTGTCATTTGCAAAATTGATCAGGTTCCAAACAAGCTCATAACGAAACTCCTTATGCTCTTTTGTCAATTCCAAAATTCTGATAATTCGATATGCATTAATAATAGCCATATCCAAAAGCCAGAAAAAAAGTGGCATCCAATTTCACTGAGTTATTTGCTGCGTATTGTAATAAGATCATAACTGGTCTGCAATATCCATGCCATTCATACAATTGTTGTAATCATCTATTACTTTTGGAATTTTTAATTTTTTTTTGATTCAGATCCAAATACTGCACGCACCTTTACTGCATTAGTGCTTGTTTCTCTTAGCCGCTATCTTTCTCACTCCACTTCTTATTTGTTACCAACAATTCTATGAATTGTTGTCGCCAATGTTACAGGACTATTGTCTTACCAAAAAAAAACTAACACATGATTTACTACAACACCAGATCGAACATCCTAGTTGAGTTTGGCACTTTTATCTACTTTTAATATTTTTGGGAAACCAGAAGCAGTTTTTCAGATAGTTCCATAGGCATCAATGTTAATTTGCTAGAGATGTTGAAAAAGAGGAACACTAGTAAAGTAATTATCTATATATATATTGTATGAATATTAGGGAAGCTGCTCAATGAGATAATTGACTAAACATCCAACTTAGTTAAAACCATGCACTTTAATCACATTACTTGAAGAGATACACGATATTGGGAAGAAGGTGTAAGTATATCCAGATTCACACAGAGACAAAATTTTGAAGCCCTCTGAAGTAGGTTTGTTCTTAATTCTAACAGTATGAATGCTTCTTCCAGAAAATCTAATTATCATCTCATCCACTAAGAGGTTTGAATTTGGTACATAAAGTTGCTTCAAAACATTACAGACATGTAAAAGTAATAGTTCCAGCTTATCAAATTAATTATTAATAATTGCAGTAAGAGGTGAAACATGTAAGTACCTTTTAATTATTTCAAACTATTTTAGTAACATTTGTTTTGAAATATAATAAATTAGAAATCGTTCATTCTCATTCCAATATTAATCTAGGGAGGGCAATTTATAAAGTTCTTAATAAATGACAAGAGCAATTCAGATAATAAGCTCTTTATGACTTAAGTCTAACTATTGCCTACTAGTTACACTAGCACCTTTGTTAGTGCGTAGAGATTTGTGTTTTCAACAATTATGTCCAGCATGGTGATATTAAAAAAAAGAAAAAAAAAGTCAATTGGTTTAGAGACATCTACATCAATATATAATGGCAGCTGAACAGATGCCTGATGCAGTAGTCTTTGGTGAATGAATGATTCAAAATCAGAGAGTGGTAGTAGTAATTCTCATTTGTTTTCTGGTAATTTACGTTTTTTTGTGTGAGTACTTCTTGTGTCTATTTTTGTTTTTTCCTCGTCTTCATTATCATCTAACTCCAGGTCATTCAAGTAATGCTAATAATTTGTTAAAATAGGTATGAATTCTTCATCATCCTCTACATATATTTCTCAAATTTCAGAGAAAGATAAAGCAAACTCAAGTGTAGAGGACATGTTTAATTAAGATTTTATTTTATTTTATTTTATTTTTTTGTTCACAATAGCCTTTAACAATTTGAGTTTTTTTTTTTTGTTACAATAGATAAACTTTTATTAACAATTAGAAATTTCATTGCAATTGATCAATTTTATCTAGCTACTTAAATACACAATTCTGAATTAATGTTGAGTAGATATCTGTGAGCAAGAATTTAGTTTATAGGCTTGAGAAATAATTCATGAATAGGTCTATCAATATTATCAAAATAGTATAATACATGCGAAGATAAAAGATAATTTTAACCCAATTTGAATAGTATGTTAATGGATGTAGACATCAATTGTCAATTTGCTTGTTTATTTTTTTAAAAGTTTACATGCGTAAAAATTAAGGTTTACTTTAAAAACAAAAATCAGGTTTATTTGAAGGGTAAAAAAATAAAGTTTATTTTAAGGAATGCAATTAGAATTTAAGAATGCTAAAATCATATATCTATTTGATCATACGCTTTAATTAAAATTAGATACAGAATCAGTTTAAGGTTTGTAGCGAATATATATATTATATATAAAATGCTTCTTGACAATCTTTATTAGTGTTTTAAGAAAGGTTTTGATATCGTATTTTTTTATTTCTTATATTTTTACTTTTTCTTCTTCGCTAAGCTGATTTAATTCACAACTTTAATTTGTTAATCTACCTAAAATATACATTGCATTTATAGATGCTTTAATAATATATGATTAGCAATATGGAATACTTTTATTCTATATTAGAAAAGATAGAGCATGTTTTAGAAAAATTTCGAGTAATTGGATGCTAGACAGTTTAAGGGATAGTCAATTATTAATAAAACTAGCCCTAGTAGCTCGATTTTGCATATATAAACAAGTTTATTTTTGCATGTGTATTTCGTGAACTTATTCTGCCTTCTCATAATTCTTACTTGAAGCTAGAGAGTAAGTGAACTCTGAGTTGATCACTATATATCTTTTTTTTTGAGCTCGTGAGAAAAAAAAATATTATCTCGAATTTTTCTTAGTATAAGTGATCAGCATGACAAATTGTCATACGCACATAATTTTTTTATTTGAAATTAAAAGCATTAACTATCAAGAAAAAATATTTTTTAAAATATGTACAGTAAAATTCTTTTCCTAACTATTTCTAAAATTATATAAATTAATATTAAACATGCAAACTCAAAAAGGTGAATCTAAAGACTTATCCAAGGTTGATTCGTTAAAATTAGAAAATATTAGATTTATGACTAGAATCGCAGAATTAGAGCAAATAGTAAAAGAAAAAAATATGCTTGAGACTGAGCTAAAACAGATTATAAAAGAAAATACCAAGAAAGCAAAGTTAAGAGATGCTAAGCTCAATGCAAGAATCATAGAACTAGAACAGTCAGCAAAAGAAAATAAAGAGTGATTTGTAAAATTGGAGCAGAAGCAAAACAATGTTGTAAATAGATTAGAAAATAGCGATAATTCGTATGAAAATGATAATATATCCAACCTTGTTATAAAATCATTAGAGGATAATACTCCTTCATCTAATATAACAAATAATACTTTAAATTCTGATGTATATTAGGAGTCAAAGATTCAATGCACCATATCATCTATTCATACAGAGTCTAAGTTACCAGAAGATAAAGGGTTTGAATTTCTGAATTGGATACATAAAGAACATATTAGTAATAAAATAAGAGAAAGAAATCGGAAAAAGAAGCTTAGATCCTAAGATTTATCTTCAGATAATAATTCTTCAGAATAGTCTAATTCATTATATGATGTAAAAACTGTTACAATTGAAACAAATCCAAAGAATGCAAATCTAAACATTCCAAAGATAAGCTCTGAGTTCAAATTACCTACTAATCTATTGCCTAATCAGAAAATTCCTTATAATCAAAAAGTAAAATGAGGTTTAAGACTCAAGTTATTGATTTGCACCAAAGATAATAATCATAATATTAATAAAGTATTTGATATTCAGATTCCTAAATTTTCTTTAGAAGCAATTTTAACAGGATCTAGTAAGGTTACATTGCAAAATATAGTTGATCTATTTAGGGTAGCAATGAAGGTTCGACAAAAGAAAAGTCTGTGCTAGTATTGTTATTATAAAGAATACAAAAATTGAGTTAGTAATATTAAGTCTGCAAATAATATTGATGACTAATTAGCAAAAATAATAGTATATAATAAAATCAAATCACTCCTTCTCGATATTACTAAAGTAAACTTGCGTAAAGTAACTTTCAGAGCAAAAAAAGTATATATATTCTATGAAGGAGTAGGAATTGATAAAATTAGTCAAATAACTTATAGTGCAAGTGCTATTTCGAGTCTAAAAGATATTCAAATTCAAAACCTCATAAATGATTTTACTAAATCATCAACAGATATGATCTGTGTAACAAATTATTATGTGCACATAACTAAACTATCTAGCTCAAAAGATGTATCAAATATAAAGACAAGTATATCTACTAAATTATCCTATACTTCTAATTCAGAAAATATGATAAGTGAGAATAACAAATCTTTACCAGAGACTAAGGTAAATACTCAATTTAATCTAATACCTAATAACTGCACCTCAGAAATTCTTATCAGAAATGAAGCAGATATAGATTCTATTATTCTTCTATTGTAACAAAAGTTTAAAAAAATCCCAAAACAAGTGTTAGATAAATGGTGAGATACTATTACTTTTGAAATACAAGATAACCATAATTACTAGAAAGATGAACATGAAAATATGAGTGAAGTAAATTTCTTAGAACATAAGTGAAATTTCGAAGCTAGAATAGGAGTACCTACTACTCCATATAAAAAAGATTTAAAAAACCAGTATTCAGTAAATATTGAATATATATAACCCTATTCATTCACAAGTCTCATGTTCAGATTATTACAGTATTAAAGTTAACTTTTTTCTTAGATAATAGCATAACATGTTATGACCCTTTTTATTTTATAAAAATCACGTAAAAATAAAAAATTAGGAGCCCAGCAGACCCCTTTCTTTATTTAATAATAATTGTTGCCGAACAACAATATAACATACAAATGAAAAATTTTTTTCTATCTATATATTAAAGATCATAATCATTATCACTACTATCATTATCACTAGCTGAATTATATATATAACTATTATCAGAATGGTCTTCCCTATCACCATATCTATAGAGATCTGCAATTGTTTTATCAGGGGTATTGTTTAAAAACCAAGTTCCAAGTAGTTATATTTTGATGAAATTATTTTGTAGAATATTTATACATCATAAACTTTACTTACAAGATCTGGGACTATATGACCTAGGTATATAACCTATTGGGATAACAACTTCAGAAGCATTAGAATCATTAGTTATAGAGATATTACTAACATTAGTCTTGGGGTGTTACTATCATTAGTCATAGAAGTGGTAGTGTTATTACTCGTAGTGGTAGTGTTATTAGTCTTAGAGGTGGTATTGGTGTCATAAGTCTTGAGGTGATATTGGTATCATTAGTCTTGATAGTAGTAGTTTTTTTTTTACTGCTCATTTTTTATACCTAAATACAAAAAAAATCATAGTAAGAAAAAAATTTGGTTTCATAGCTGAAGTAAAATGAAATAATACAAATTACTTAAAACAATATACAGACAAGTGAATTAGGTAAAAAATATATGAGCAAAATATAACATTATTGGTAACTTACCTTACTGACAAAAATCACTTATTTTTATACTGCTTATTCGATAGATCTAAAAAACCTGCTAAAAAAAAAAGTTACATGATTAGTAATTATGTTACCCTAACATAATACCAGATCTAGCTACATAAAGCAACCTCGTTTGGCTATAAGTTCCAAATACTGAATCCATTTTGTTATTTTTTAGGTGAAATTAAACCTCCTTAGATTTAATGATCACTACTACGAAGTGAAAAAAGTTGACGATCTGGGAATAGTGGAGATTCCAAGTTCTAGTAACATATGAATTTCAATAAAACTACTGATTAAGAATGTTATACATATTTCTCTTATAGCTATTTTAAGTTCTATTTGCACTTTTTCTTATTACAGGATCATATATATAATAAGAAAATAGTCTAGATATAAATTCGTAATATTTGTTATTAATAAAAAAATTGACTATGAAAAATGATTCTGCAGGAGAGTAATACAAACCATATGCTAATTTCGTAATCTGTATTACTATTATGAACTTTATTTTTTTATGCAGTCTAATCTATTATCACCTGCTATCTCAGCCAATTATCAGCTAATTATTTTCTACTATTGGGAGTATATAACTGATTACGGTAATTGATTAATATATATCATTTTTCATATAATACATATAATATAGCGCATATATTTGTTTACTGTCCCACAACCTTCATTTATGCATTATCATTATTATTTATACAAACTTATCAAAAATAGAGATATAGCCCCAAACAGAATAATAATAACATATATGTACATATTTTAAATTTAAAGATCTGAATTATTTCAGAGCAATTTTGTGTCGAATTATCATAGTGCCAAATATAATTAATTATTAGATAACCTATTATGATTATTATAGCTACATATATATAAAATAGATCTAATTTCCAATTTTTAACGAAAATCTATAAGCTAATATTCTACCTTTAATATTATAGTCTTCTTAGGTACAGTCATCACCTTTGATAGCAGGCCCAGAATCTGACTGTTTTCTCTCTGAATTTTATATTTTCACTTTTTATTTTGCTATTAAGGGCACAATTATCATTTTTTTTCATAGGGCATATGCAAAGAGAGGAAGGTCCAACAGACTTCCCAGGTTTTAAACCACCAGGCTACACTATATAAATAATATGAATATATCTACCTCGCTTTTTTAACATTATACTTCTTCCCGATAGTCTTGCAAAAATTTTGTCAAAAATTCTAGATGATAGGATCTCTGACTTCATATATTTATTTTCTATTATATTATTATAAAATACTATTTAGAGAGCGCGATTATAGGACTATTATTGTCTATGTAGTAAGGAGAGAAAGGCCTGATGAGCTTCTCATAGTTAGTCCACTGAGTTACGAGATAAGAAATAGCTTTGAATATATCCATCTCGAAATTTACTTAAGTATATAACATGTTGCTATATTATCATTTATGATCTAATCTGAAAATTTTATAATATGCTAGATAAATTGGGTAAGTAATATGTTTTTATTTACTTGCACAAAATTATATTGCGTCAATAGATCAATCACCCAGGTTACTTGTTACAGGTATATATAGTTATGCAAAAAATTTCACTTAAGTCTTCACCTCTTGATAATAGAGTCTCTGACTATGTATGTTGTATATTCAAAAGGGCATAATCATCATTACTAATAGTTCAGTACTTTGATTTGCATAGTTTATTCAGTCTGCAAAAATAATCAATTAGGTGATTCAATTAGACTACATAAAATATAATTTTAATCTTATTTCTTAATTTTTTATATAGGATATAATTTGAATATAAGAATGGTACAAGTGAAATTTTTCGCACCCTTTGGGTCTACAATTCTCACTACAATCTAATATATATCTCTTCTATTCTCATTTATATATCACTCACAAAATATGACAAATATACACAACTCATCTAATAACCCAATTCGTACTAAAAATAAATCTGGTTTTAATCATATATATTGTACCAAATCTAATAGGTCAAAAACACTAAAACTGCTAAATATATAAGTGATACTATGTCTGGCTTTGATATTGCACTATTATTAATAAAAAAGATAAAACACTTCCTAAACCATATATTAATCATCCTAGTTTTGATATGAAATATGCTGTATTATATATATCACATTATAGTGGAACTTATGCTAATAAACTCAATCAAATTTTTAATAATAAGAGATTATTTGATACTCTATCTATCATAAAACAGAATAAAACACTAGTTTAATAGATAATACGAATCGAGTATCTTTACAGAATTTATTAAATGCTAGAAAATTTAGTATATATTACTAGCTATATTTATTTGCATCATTTGGTAAAGGTAAATTTAATAATTTCAATTATTATAGACTAAGAATTCACAAAACTTATATGGCTATTTGTTTTGGTTGCTGGAAACTCATAAAAATCAATGATGTACAGCCCAAAAAATTATTCCATTTTATCAGACAAAGATATATTAATCATCTCGTACCTAGTAATTTGATAATTAATTATTGGAATAAATAATGTGATAAACTAAAAACTAATGTCAGAAAAACAAGAATTATATAAAGAGCTTAGAAAAATTTTAGAGAAAAGGGACTATCAAATGCACGAATTGCTTAAAATAGTTTGGCAAATGATAACACTCCCAAAGAGAAAAAATTTCTGGGCCTAACTTCTCGTAAAGTGAAAAATCCTCAAACTTGAGAACAATTCGATCTGAGGACTGCTGAGCAAATTGCAATGTATAGGAGATATAATCCTAGTATAGTCAGGCTCTTTATTAATAATAAATATGAAGAATACTATATTCTATATGATTGAATAGGTAGAAAGAAAAACTAATTACAGGATAGATTTCAGAAACATCTTCTGGAATTAATAATATAATATATATTTAAAGTTTTGCATATGAGCCTATTTCATAGAGTACAAAAACTTCCTAATGTAAATAATATATTAAGTTTATTTTTTCACATCCATCTCAATTTTAACACAGGCTGGAGATATGCATCTTCTCAATAATATAAAAAGTGATGAGTAGGATATGTTTATATTAATATGACAAAATTATAGCAGAAAAAATAATTATTAATTGTCAAGCCTTATTCTATTTATCTAATTTCAATAGTGTGTCCTAACTCAATCTAATTGTGAGAGAATCTTCAACTACTTTAGTAAAGTCAAAGACTACGAAATTTTGATCTCGCAAATATTTATCAATAATTTTGAATGCTTTTTTTGGATTATCCATATATTGTCACATAATTCTATAAATATCATCTCGGAACCCCCATTGTTAAATAATGCAAGATAGGCTCAGATTTTCACAGATAATTTTAGGAGTTTGTGTATATTTCTGGCTCAAATATATGGGTGAGATATTTTGATGCTGGCTACTAATGAAGTACGAAATAATTTATTCTTGTACTTTCTTTGGCTTAGCATATAAATCCTCGAATATAACAACTATACTTTATTCTGGTGTGAATTTAGTTATATCTAGAATTTTATTTGAAGATAACCTTTTGAATATAACATCTTCTCGATATAGTTTCAGGCTATTTGCAAAGATCTGATAGCTATTTTGTACAAGTTGCTATTTAGACTCAAAATGCTTGCCTATTAATACAAGGTCATCATTTCTAATATACCGCTAACCTTTTTTTCTCTTGAACATATGTTGTAGTTTGTTGCCAAGCATAAGATTTATAACCATGTTAGTTTTTTTACTATGGGAGCCTCTACATACCAGTAATCTTAATAGGGCATCTGGTAAATACTTATTACGTTTTATTTGTTCTGAGGATTTGTTAGATGTCTTGTCGATATTGTATACAAATATAGGCATTTTTTCATCTTCCATCCCAATTAATCTAAGTAATACTTATATGTTTATTTTTTATGTGATAAATATCTTCTCTCTTACAATTCACTTTTTATAAATACATATAAATCTGAGTCGAATGGTATTTTAATCAGATCTATACCTTGCTTCTTACATATCTTCTACTTTTTTTAGTTACACTTTCGTTGTGCATCTAGGTTAGCCTCGCCATTAGAATAGAAGTGTTTTGGGACTAATTGATAGTGTTGTACTCCTTGATGCTCCTATACCAAATACAATTTCTTATTATATCTATCAAATCTAAGTCTACCTAAAAATTTATCTGAATATAGTGAGAACTTCTTATCTAATAAATCCTTAAAAATGTATCTACAGCATTACTCATTCTTATTGTAAAAACAAAGTGGACACCACTCAAATTTTATTGCAATCAATAGAAATGGGTACTCAAACTGATGCAGTCTATTTTTACAAGTTCAGAGGAATACATTCTAATTATTTATTCACCTAGTTTTAGCTAAGATATTCCACCACATCTTCCAGCATATCATTGTGTCTCATCAAATTCATTATTAGAAACATAAATAAAATGTATCGATCTAGAGAGATGATATTTTTATATAAACTCATCAGGTAGATACTCAACCTTTTCAGAATTCTCGATTACTTGGAGCTCCTCTATCTTAAAAAGTCTTTTGGGATTACGACCTATTAAATGTTTAGTTGAATCAATTGGCTTATCCTTAAGATAGTATAAGACTGTTTGTGGTGGATTCTTACCAACAATAACTTTTGCAATTTTATAGATATGTAAACTCTAGTATAGGTCAGTTTTCTGATACATGTACCTTCCTTCTAATTTGCTCAGTTTTAATAAATATCTTATAGTCATTTCTTTCTGTAATCGCGATTCATCCTTCCTAATAGGTCTTTTAGGTTTGGTGGATATTTTAGATATCACTTCTCACAATATCATTGCATATGATAGAAGTATGTCTATTAATCATTTTATTATTATTTATATAATCGATAATTTTCTGAAGTATTTTGTTCCATAATTTTGAGTGTTTACCTTCTTTGAGTTTTCCCTCTATGGCATAGTGAATTTTGTATATAAGTCTAGCCAAATCTTGTTTAAATTTTTTAACTAATGCTAAGCTCTCAAAGCTATAAAGATTGACAACTTCTATAGGAACATTATATTGCTCTATTCTTTTCGCAAATGATCCTTTAAACTTACCAGCATCATTAACTATCAATAATACCATCTACTTGAGAGGATTTTTAGGATTATTGTATATTTTTTTGATGGCATTTCAAACTTCTAAACTATTCTTTGATGTTAATGCTACAGCACATTTAAACCTCATTGCTATGTTTATCAGTACCAAGGTGTATAAATATACTTTTTCCCTTTTCTGATCATCATAAACATAGGGTAACAGATCATATTAATTTAATTTGTTAGGAATTCGACATTTAGAAAAACTGGCTCAAGCCTTAATTTTTAGTAGATGTTTATATATTTGGTAATCATACTGATTCTCTAACAACTTTGTTATATCTTTGAATCTAAAATAAGTATACTCTTCTTTTTTACATGCTTTTTGCAGAGCCTTTGCATTGGAGTAGAATTCAGGTATATTATAATAAATTAATCGAAGAACAATTCGCAATTCCTCATCAGCTTGTATAATAATACTAGGTTGGCCCATTCTTATATATTGTAATAATGTAAAAAGATTTTATTTGGCAAAGTTTCAAGAAGAGTTGATATATTATAGACTCGTATGATACTATCAAATACAGTAGTGTCTTCACCTAGTGAAACAATTAAAAAATTCGAAAGTACTTTACTGGTAATACAAAATCAATTTTATAAATTGCAACAGGATCTAGCCTTAAAAGAAGATTATATTAAGTATCTTAAAAAAGAAATTTTGATTCGAGATGAAGATTTGGATCTATTATGACAGAAAATTTTAGATATTAAAAAATGGTTCGAAAGGGCACTTCAAGATTCTGAAAACAAAGAAAATTATATTGATTATTTGGAAAAGTTGTTAGTAATTTTTCAGAATGAAAACGACAAACTTAATAAAAAAATTCAGGTATTAAGTGGCAATTCTTCAGAAATAAAAAATAGTAGTGATACTATAGATATGGCTCAATGACTTAGATCTCCCAGCTCACCTCGAGATAGAAATTAAGCTACGATTCAGAATTATAGAATTTTTCAAGAAATTAACAATATTAGACTATATTTCTAAAGCCCAACTACAATAGCACTAACATTAGATAGTATTTTAAATTACCTTGATATAATTACTGATGCTAGAGATTATCTTAAGCAGATGGTATTAGCTTCTAACTAGCAAGATACTCAAACATTACAAGATTAAATAATCATATAACTCTTGCTGAGAGACAAATAACTAATTTACAGACCCAGCTAAATACACTACAAACTAATTATAATCTTCTCCAACAGGACTTAACTTATGAACAACAAAGATGATATGATACTGAAACAAAATGGGATTTGATGAATTTAGCTTATAATAATGAAGTAAAAGAATGCTATCGCTAGTAGTTCTCATATCATAATAAAAATAGACGAGTTGGTGAATTAATTCGAGAAAAATTTGCTATACAATTATTATTAAAACAGTGCTATACCAATAGTAGAAATTTACAAACAAGACAAAATATATGTCATACTAACAATAGGAACTTATAACTTAAGCTAGATACATGTTAGGATGATTTATTTCTCAGTGATCTCTAGTTGGATATTAAATAGAGTAAGTAGAAAACTCATGCTTAAAATTTTGAACAATTAATTTTGAATTTACAAGGACAAATTTTACATTTACAGAATAATCAACTTATAAATCCAAATATGGCAGATACTAGACATTTACTAGTATTAAAATTAATACAACTCACCCTCACAAGTTTTTTACCTTATATTAGTCAAGAACCTCCTAATGATTATTTTGATAAGGTTATACAATCATGGATATTTGCTAAGGGATATATGACAGTTCTTGAAACTGCAAATGTTAGAGATTTCGATAATACTATTAAGTATACTATCTTAAAATTCAAGATAGCTAGAAAATATGCTCTAATACCAGCTAATGATCTTTTTACTTATAGTAATTCTGCTATTAATTCTCCAACAACTTTACAAGTATGAGCAAGAACAAAATATTAATGAGAAACAGTTAGAACTAAACAATCTGCAATTCAAAGATTAACTCAAGAAAGATTTCAACCCTTTGATATTTTAGATACTTATAAAACTAGAATTCGACCTTTTTTGTTAGGTGTAGCCAATAATGATACTCAAGTTTTGGGATTTCTTAAAAGCCAACTACTAGATAAACTTTTTACTTGGATAAGATCTGTTGCTTCAGTAGGTATTAATGAATTTTTCGTTGCATTAAAAAATATGTAGTTGGAGCATACTTCAAATTTATATGAAGGCTTAGTACTCGATTAAATCCTAACAGTTAAAATTCAATTTATAGTAAATACAATTTCAGCTTTAATTACTCCTGAGAAAGTAGATAGAAAAATTCAAGTAGTAATGACTATATTTGAAAAACAGCAGAACTGGCACAATCAAAAAGGTGAGTCTAAATTATTATGGCCTAGTCAAATAGAGCCTAGTAAAATATACTGTGATCCAAATTTACGCTTAAATTATACAGAATATTTAAATATGTCTAATACATTAGAATATCTTAATACTACAGCCAAAGATATATCTTACCTACAAACTCTTATGGATACTATTAGTAAAGGAATAATCGATAAAATTATACTTCTCTTACCTAAAAAGAAAAAAAATACATCTTCTAATACTGATAATATAGATAAAATTACTAACAGTATAACAGGATTATCAATAAACCAGACTATATCCAAAGGTATATCGCAAGGAATAAAAGCAGTACATACTGTTAATGTATTATCCCAGTATAGATATTCGAATTGTCAAAGTTTTGGATATAATTCTCACAAGTGTCTCTATTCTCGTAAAAAGAAGAGTAAGTCAAAGACCAAATCTAAAAATAAAGGTAAAGTCAATAAGGTTATTATAGATTTAAATTCTGAATCAGGTTCAGATACTAACTCTTCTAATAATAATTCTGATTCTGAGACTGAATCTGATTCCAATGATATATCTTTTGAGACTGAAAGTATGACTATTAATATTAGTAAAGTAAAAAAAAAGTGAGCTAGAAAGCTGACTCTGGTAAATCATCCTCACAAAAATAGAAACCCAAAACTCGTGAGAAGAAACAGAAAGATACTCCTAGCTCTGATAAGTTCCAAAATAAATTAACTTGTATTAAACAGGCTTTTCTCTAAAAAATTGTATTAGATATGCTTGAGAAAGCTTTACCTGCACATTGCTTAAAAAAACTGAAATCCGAAATTGGCACTAGCATACTAGCTCAGGTTAAAAATCTGTCTACTATATCTCCACCTATTCAAGTGTCAGACTCTAAAAATTATCAAGATCCAGTTCTAGATTTACCTGATTTGAATAGGAAAGAAGAGATATTAGATAATCCTATAGAAATCGATTTCATTCAAAGAAAGGATTCTGCTACAGATATTGCTATTATGAAATGTAAAATTAATAGCCTAGTCATTCCTGCAGGTAGGATTGATTTACTTGTTAACTTTCTTATTATGACTAAAGATATTGCTAAGTATGCGAAGTTAAAAATGAATTCAGATAAAAAACATAAGCTTAGTAGTATTGCCACTCATACTGAATCTATTGGAACTATATATAATGTACCAGTAACCTTTGCTCTAGATTGTATTATTTATTCTAATTTTGCTGTAGTTAGATATTGCAAACCAATACTAATTTTACCTAACTCATTACTTGACAAATATGATTATGATTTACTCACATCGAAATGGTTATTGAAACTTGTATATAATAGTAAGAAGCATTTTATTCTAATTAATATATATGAGGTCAAGAACAAGCTTAAAGTAAACTGCACGATCATATCTCAGGATAATAAGCTTCTGATATCCGATTAAATTTTTCAGGAGATAGATAGAGATGAGAATAACAATATACCATTTGAAAAGTAGTATGCTCCTGTGGGTTTTAGCTTAGATTTTGGTGATTCTACTTTAAAAAAAAATGCATGAGTTATGAGGAGTTAGAAAAATTGCTATATACTACTCTTGAGTCTAAGGCTAAAATAAATAATCTTTGTGAAAAGTTGCAAATATATTATGAAAAGCTACTATCACAAAGTAAAAATATTTCTACATCTGAATATATCTTCTCTAAAAATGATAGTACAAATAAAAAAAAAGATAGATCTAAGTAGTAGCTAATAGGCGAGTCATATTTACTTTATTTTTCTCATCTCTTCTGGTTTCTTTTTCATATAATATATCTAGATCCTCACTACTTATTTTTTCTGTCTTATTAAGTATAGATACTACTACGTTAGAGTTATTAGTAGATATTGAATCAGATATATGAACAGATTTAACTCAAGATTTAGAACTTCTCTTTTTTATTTCTGTATTGAGAGAAGTAGTGAATTCTAGATATAAGTTTGAAGAACCATTGCTCTGCAATAAAATCTCTCTTTCGATTCAGTTAGAATTTTTGGATAAGATTTCAGAAGAAATAGTATTTTGTGTTTGAATTGATCGAGAGTATATTATCTGTTGTTTTCGTTCATGATTTTCTATATAATCTACAATATGATAATGATTTATGCGATATTTTCTTGCTATTGTGTTTATAGCATCAGGTACTCTAGCTATTGACCCTTTAATCTCTTAGATTGCCTCATCTGATAAATATCTTGCATTGGCACTATAATATTCTTTATAAATGTAACCTATATCAAAATATTTTTATTATTAGAATATAAAGAAAAGTTTTGAAATATTTGGCTATATATATATATATTTTTTTTTTTTTTTTATAATGCTATAGTAGAAACTTTATTTATAAGATTAAAACATATGTTCAAAATTTTAAAGATTTCTAGCTACATTTGTGTTATATATTTTTAAGGCACCTAATATGATATTACACTTCCTATTTCCTAATTTATACTATATTTAATTATTTCAAATTAGTTTTTAGCTAAGATAGGTTGAAGAGAACCTGATGCTATATATTATTACAATATATACTATAATATTTTAACTTATACTAGCTTATCACAAAATATATTATAATATAACTAAACATTTCAGAATGTTTGACTATATTTAAGGAAATTTTAAAGTATATTTAGATATTTTTTATACCAATCTAAGAATAATATGACTAATGTTCATACATTGCAAAATATTAAAGGCTATCATCTTGGTAGTATGCATGAGCAAGAGCTAGAAAAAAAATTATATACTGCTCTCAAATCCAAGACTAAAGTCAATAACCTTAGCAAGAAATTACAGGTTAAATATTCTAAGCAAGTGAAGAATTTTGATCGAGAGAGAAAGAGATAGAATTGGGATTCATTATATTATAATACTGAGTTTCAAAAATTATATACCTACACTTCACAAATTATTGATGAGAGTAAATGACTTCAAAATGAGAATACTAACCTTTCATCCCAACTTACCCAATCACAAATTTTCCATGCTGAATCCAAGGCTAAGAATGTTACAAAATCTAAGAAAATTAGATCACTAGAATCTATAATCAAGATATTGGAAAGTAAGTTATCTTCAGCTCAGAAGAACGTGTTTTCAATTCAAAAGAACTTGTCAGAAAAAGAATCCTGGAATTTATCTCTCAAATTTAAAATAGCTGAATAAGAAAATATAAAGAGTGAATTAGAATTAAAAGTTAATGAACTGGAGTATCTAAAATTGGAGAATATATCGAGATCTATAGGCTCTTTAAGCCAGGGCCCAAAGGGCCTCTAATAACCTGCTCTGTAATAATTAGTGGAGATGATGAAAAAAATATATCAAAGTCTGATAATATCTTTGTGGTTAGTGAATCTGTCAAAAATCTCAGTCAATATTTTATATATAGAAAAAGTATGGATCAAGCTGGAAAAATTAGTACTATATCTCTTGACACTAGCTCTGCTATCCCAATACCTACTAATAATGAGATTACTGAACTACCAAAAGCTAATATTGTGAATAACTGTGAAATAGTTCCTTCTGACAATATTAAGATAAGTGATGAAACTAACACTAGTGAAACTAGTAAAGTTATATTTCTAGTTCAGGAGATAATAAATATGACTTGATATCTTGTACAACTAGAAAATTATACTCCCTCTTTGATTGAATCAAATCTCTAGATGAGACCTAGTCTTGAGGCTTTGCCTCTTCCCATTGTGACAAGTACCTTGATATCACCTTTATCAGTATATATTTGTCTTATTCTATTAATTATCATAGTTATATAGTTCATAATATTGAGACGTACATAGGGATTGAAGAGGAAAAGTGAGTAGTTGTAGGATATATGGGTCAGATAATGAGTATTATCTATTTAAACTTGAATATTATTTATAAATAAAAAAATTTAATTCTATTATATAGGTATTACAGATATTTATAATGAGCTTACTGCTTTATTCCATGTATTTAGAAAATCGTCAAGTATTATTTGATCAACTTTTGTTATATTGAATAAGGTAGGTTGCTCAGTAATAATTTCTTTTTTTCTCATAGTCTCAGGTGGACCAATCTTATTTGGAATAGATACATGTTCTTTATATCGCATATAATACACTAATTTATGGAAGAAAGCATCATATTTCTTGATAATTAGGATAAGTACATTTAGATGTTTTGCAAAATTGGAGTATATAGATTCTTTTATTTCATTACTTACTAATAGATTATCATTTTCAGTATATGCTTTAGCATACTCTATAAATTTTTCCCATAATCTCAAAACAGAGTTACTTACTTTAAAGTCTTCTAAGTTTAGCCAATTTTTATAAAATATCTCATAGGTATTACTTATCTTCTGATATAATATAGCTTGTGTAGTCTTAACTGCATTCTTGTAGGCACATTTATAAGCATATCCATGATTAAGCAACATTTTGTCATAATACCACTTAAGCTATTTATATATTCTTCAAGCTATTTCTTAGCTTTTTTCTGAGAATACTCATCACTCTATTTATATTTCTCGTCTTTATCTTTAAGTTTCATAATCTTGTCAGAAGGTAGTAGTTGGTATCTATCGTTATAGTTGATAAATCTAGCACAAAGACTGATAATTTTATTTTGGAGATAATATGATAAGTCTATCTCCTTCCTAAGATCTTTTGCAACATCAACAAATTCTATTCAGTTACCCTTAGTTAGGTATTGCTTTTTGTTAGATAAATCAAAATCTATATCAGTCTTGGATATTACATAACTGAAACACTCATCTGGTTCAAGAATCTTATCTTTATAGGTTTTTCTTATTCATTCTATAAATCGTTGAACAGTTAAATTTTGTATATTAGGTTTCCATATATCAGTTTGGATGAACTGGTCAAACTCCCATTGTTTAGATTTTGTTATAGCATTAGTGAGGACATCTTCAACAATTTTATGAAGTAATTAGTCAATCTTAACTTCTATAGCTTTCCACATAATTCATTTACTGATAGTTATAAAGAGTTTTGATTGTCTCTGTTTTACAGTATTGATTCCTTTAATAAATAACTTTTTTGGCTTAAAATTTGGAACATCTATATGTGGTATTCTGAAATATTTCTTTTTACCTGTAAAGACAACCAGAAATAACACTTTCTTATAAGCCATTTTGAGATAAATTGATCTGCTTTTTATCTTAAGATAGAAATTCACTTCATAGCATAATTTCTCTATTACTCCTATAGTTATTTTAACCATCTCAGTTCAATACTCTAGTATTGAGATGAATTATTTTTATAGGCTAGATCACAATTTTTATAATAATCTTTGGAACAGATAAAATATAATAAATCGGTATCACTATATTGAATTTCATATCCTTTTTTTAGTACATATCTCACAACAAGCTTGATATTAAACTAACCTACTAAAGTAACAGCTCTAGCAAGTTAGCATAGAAAGAATAGTGAAAGACTATTATCTGCTTCACTATAAAATGTATTCATATAAACCTTTACAGCTTTTTGTTTCAAATTCAAATAGATATGAGCAAAATACACAGAATCATATTCTATTATAAAATTACTATAAGATTCACTTATAAAAGGAATTAAGGTTTTGGCTATATCAGCATGATTTTCTTCATCTTTTATATTTTTTAGTATATAATCAATAGCATCTGTTAGTAATAAACTCTTCTCTTTCATTTTACTAATTACCAATTCTATATCTCTTTTTTCTTAGCCAGAATAGTGAGATCCGATTTCATTTTATTTCACTTATCCAATAATTTTTTGAGAACTAATAGATACAAACCTTTTTTATCAGTTCTGTTTATATGCAATACTAACTAAGCTTGTAATATCTGACTATTAAAAGGAAATTTGATTTTATGTAGACATATCCCTTTCTGTTGTAGATCAATAGCCTCTTTTTTCTCTAGAACTATCTTTTCAGGTGAAAAGTTGTAAGTCTTAATAATAGATGGATATAATGATATAAAATCCAAACCTGTAACTGGGTGCTTATTATTGAAACCTTTTATTGGGGGAATACATGAGTGCCAGGTTATTTTCCAGATTCGATATTTTTGTATAGTATTATACTAATCAATATATTCTTCTTCCAGGCTTCAGCACCTAAGAGGTTATATACCTTTATTCTATTTGCATAATAGTAGGCATCAAACAGAGAAACATAAATGATCGATATAACTTCTCTATTGTTATTTATCATATTTTGTATAACCAGAAGTTGTTGGCATTGTAAAGCATTAATAATATAATATTTTATCACTTCATGCATATGTTTTGCAGATTCTGTAGAATAACCTTGTTTTGCTATTTCATAATGATTTCACATACAGTTTATTGGCATGTCAATTTTACTCTCAAGATCACATATTTTCAAGTAAAACTTGAGTAAGCTTCTTTTTTATACTTCAGAATGTGGATATAGTTTTTTGAAACTTGCATGAATATCAATTAGAACACATTCTGGAAATTTCAGGAAAGAAGAAATAAAGAACTTTTCTGAACTAATCTTAATTTTTACTGCTCGTTAGCTAAAATCTTCCTTTTCATCTTCACATACATTTTCTCTGATATTCAAAGAATATCTCATAGAGCCTAGATTTTTTCCTATGCTCCCATAATAATTCTATTGTAAAATCTGTTCGGTTATATTTTGTCATATATTCACAGATATTTGCAACTACATCCAATCAAGAATGTGTAGTTGACTAGCTTTTTCTACAATGAAAGGCTAATTATAGTCTGAATCATTAAAACTTATTACAATATCAGGTGCTAGTACTCACTAATATAACACAAATACTTTTAACAGATTTTTCTCATTCTCACAAACAATTATAATCCAATCTAGATCTGGCTTTGTTTTGATATCGACAAAACAAATTTGTTTTAATAGTTTTGGATCATCTTTCTAGTGAATAGTCATGCAAATCATGAATAGAGTATCGTCTAAATACCATGGTCAGGGTAATTAACCTAACTCTCATTCTGTATAGGTTTTTATATCCTATGTTAATACTAGTGTGTGGTTATGTATTATAGTTGAGGTAGAAAATAAATTGTTTATTGTTGATAAGTCTTCCACAGAATAAAAATCTTTATAGATACTCGAAATGCATATGAACAAAGAAGAAAACTTTTATTATATCTGTAATTGCTTATCATTCCCATCCCAAAAGAGAAATTCTATATTCACAAGCAACTTTGCAGTAATAAGTACTGCGATCATCTGATGCAGTTTCTAGATTATACTTTTAGATAATATTAAAAGCTATTTTTCTTTGAAAAGTATTTGTTGTGATGAGATGAAGATATACCTTTTCTTCTGTATAGTAGCCACGAATAGAAAATGCCTTTATGTGCTCTATTCTGATTTTACTTACATCTATAGTTTTCTCTTTATCATTCTTTTCATTAGTAAGAATATTTTTTATTTCAGCTTCAAACAAATATATATCTTTATTATCAAGGATGTGAATGTCAAAGAAAACTTTAATATCTGTAATTGTTATTACTGCTTTCTGCCTATTGATAAGTGGACTATATAAATGCAAAATATAATGAGGAGTTCTATTAATATATTTATTAGTTTCTTCTATATCAGTAGGTATAAAAGGTATATTTTCTCATTTAGCTAAGGCTTGTTCAAAAATCGAAGTCGATCTATTCTTATTTTCTCTAACTATATCACTATGAGTTAGGATTTCTAAATAATTTTTGTCAGAATATCTCTATATTTGTTTTATCTTTTCATTTTCTGAAATCTGGGATTGAGAAAAGGCCTTAGCTCTTCAGTGGTAGAAGCCCCCATTATTTTCTTCCTCTATCTCTGGTGCGAAATTTTCTACATTTTCTGAGCTCTCTGATGTGTAAGTGTCTTTATATTTCTCCAAGTTTTCAGAAGTGAAAATATCAGATAATATAGAGTATTAGTATAAGCCTGCTTCTGACTGAATCTCTAATTATTCAGTTTATACAGTCACAGTAGGTGTTTTGTATATACTTTGGGTACTCATAGTAACTTAGGATATTTTAAAATTCTGATATATTATCCTGAAAAAAAAGTTTAATTTGAAATTATTAATTAATTAGTTTTATCTAACATAGTATTACTAATAAGTTTCAAAAAATATAATTAAAAATAACAGATATTTATCTTTGTCAATATCTTTCCAATAAGAGAAAAGTCTGTAGACAACTCTGCTATTAGCAGGAAGGATATGCTATTCATTGGAAAAGGTATCAATGCATCCTCTGTTTAGAATGTAATAAACT